TCTAAAAATTAAATCTAAGTTGTTAAGTGATATTTACGGAATTATTTATATGTTTGGAGTCGTCACCCAGATATTTAAGGAACTAGGAACCCAAAAGTAGTATTGGTTCGTAGATTCTTAAGGTAAGAAATTGATTACACATTTAAAAAGATATTCAATTATCCAAAAGTGTCTTTCCGAAGAAAGGTAGCATGTCCGATTTAGCCCTAAATTTATCTCCTAAAATACTTTATTAATGTCAAATTATTTTCTAATTTGTTAACTTCAATTTTATAGCCAAATATTTTTATTTATTTATTGGGCGGAGCATCGTATTGAAACGATTGTCGGTCCCTCCGTCGGGCGATACATCGGCTCAAACATCGGATCCCCCGTAAGCCTTGACAAAGCCGGTATGTCGAAGGACATCCCGACTAAACAATGATTTTTAGTGACGTCGGTCCTTATCAAACAGGAGACTTTGTCAAAAAATTTAAATATTTATTATTTATTATTATTCGTTTATTTTGTTTTTTTTATTAATCTAATAACATACATAAAAAAAAAAAAACATCAACTCTAAATTATTGCAAGAAAACAATAAAAGAAAATAAAATTAAATTTTGTTAAAAGAAAACAATTCGGACCTAATGCAATTAACGTATTCCTTGTTTATCTCCTACCCCCTTTTCTTGTTCTTTTTTTTTATTCCCTAATTCTAATTTTTCATTTTTTTATTACAATTTTTTTTTTTTCGGGAGAGGTCGGACTCGATTCCAACCTCCCCTCCTTGCATTTTTTCCTCTTTTTTAAATTACTTTTTGGGAGAAGGTCTGGACCAAGTCTAGCCTTCTCGTTTTTTCTTAATTTTTGGTAAAGGGTTTGCGCTGGACCAAACTCGATCCAACCTTCCTTTTGATTTTTTTTTTCACTTGTGGAGTGGGCTAGACTGGACCGAAACCAGCTCAACCCCTTTTGTTTTTTGTCCTAAAACCCTTATAGACCCATTTTGTAATTCATTTTCTCTTTTCTGTTCTTTTTTTTTTCTCTTCCCTTCTTCTCTAGATTTCATAGGAACAAAGCTTACCCTTTTGAATCAAAGGCTAACTGATCAAATCACTTTCATTCCCCCCACTTAAACGAACTAAAATCTAAAGTTTAAATAACATAAAAAACTTAAATTCGAGATGAAAATAACCGACTCGAGCTTCGAAACTCGTGGTCGTGGATGTGCGAATTAGATTGATACAATCTCCGACTTGTCTTGATCCAAAACAATAAATTGATTGTGGTATTGGTGTTTGATTCTTTCTTGCTTGCAGAGTTGACGTAAAGGAAGAAAAATAGACTTGGTTGTGATGATCCTTGAATCGGGAGTTATGTAGATGGATTGGTAGAAGGTTAATGGTGTCCGAGGATTTAGAAAAACTTGAATGGATTGTGTTTGGGGTTTAGAATGACGAACAAGATCACGAATAAAGAAAATCAAAAACCTTAAAATTTGGAAATTGTTAAAACCCAAAAGCACAAGAACACAAAACCCAAAAATTCATCTTAAACCCGGACCTTCAAGTTGTAAACCCGTAAGTACAAGCACTCGCCTAGAAAATTTGGTGGATAAAACCCAAAAAAAAAACTAATTGAAACCTCAAAACTAGAAATCAAGTGAACAGACTCATGCCAATCGAACCCAAACCTGAAAAATCAAGCAACGAAGTGAAATTGCAAAACCGAGATGAAGAACACGAAGAACATTCAAACTAGAAACCCAAAAAACCCAAAAAATTAAAGCAATTATCTCCTCTAAAATCTTTCGATTTTTTTTCTCTCAAACCAAAATTCTCTCTCTTTTCTCCCCTTTTTTCCTCCGAAATCGGACCCATTTTATAGCCAAAAACTTCCTCGAATTTCTCCTAGAATCAAATCTCAATCTCGAATTTTTCCGTCAAGATTTCCTCTTTAATTCGATTAGTTAATCAATAAGGAAAGGAATCTGCCATTGCTTGATTCTCTCGTTGGTATTGATTTTGGCCAAGAATCCATGATTAATGCAAAAATCAAACAAGAAATTTGGTGGAAATTTGGATAGATCTTTCGAAAGATTTTTGGAGAGGATCTCGCATTGGGGTGGACGACAGTCATCCTCTCCAGCTTAGTCCTATGGTCCACTCTAAAATTTCATTTCGATCCTTATTCATTTCAATTTTTATCAATTATGCCCTCACGTGGTATAATTTCGGTCTTTATAATGTACAATCATATCAATTGGGTCCTTATAGGATGTAATTTAGGTTCTAAATTTTTCAGTTGGTTCGATTATACCCCTAATTACCTCAATTATACCTTCTTTTAAATACAATTGTGTCCCTAAATGAATGTTTTTGGGTTTTTCATTATTTTTTATTTTTTTGATTTTTTTTAGCAAACTCCAATATGAAATAAAAATAAAACAAGACATAAATAAATAATAACTAAACAAATAAAATGAAATGAAATGAGTAAATTTTGGGTTATTACATGTCTAATCTTTACATAGTCTTGCAATAAATGACAAATTGGATAGATAGCTAGTTTCTTGTAGCACGAGAAGCACTCCTACAAATAATACGAGTCTTTGCTTGTGGTCGTAGGACACGGATTTGACAATTGTTACAAATTAAGGGCTTTTCCAAGTTCAATGTAGAATGAAGGCATTCATTTGAGTGAAAAACCATCTTGCAAAATAATGTAAGGATAGCAAATTAAGACGACAATTATCCATCCGTTTGACAACTTTGAAACACTCGTCGCTTGGGAATTCAAACAAAAACCAGGATGAAGACAAAGGTTAGCAAAATGTAGGAGTTCTTCGTCAAACGAAGTTGAAGTTTTCGTGTAGTAGATACATTTGCTTGGAAACAAATACACAAAGTTGTAAATCAAGTGGATATATATCTAGCACTCAAAAAAGTTGAACGTACATAGCCGACAATAATTCTCGGGAAGAAGCTAAAGGCATGACTTATATCTACCATAATTGGATTAAGGCTCTTTGATTTAACTTTATAAATAGTAATTAGCACATTCATAAGCTAATCTTGGTCGTATATATATTAAGGCAATGGCAACCCACTTATAACGGTGATTTGTCCGTCCAAATCCATCGTAATCATTTTTTTACAATAACGGATTGATATAGTTCTTCCTTACTAATTAGTGGTGCTTTTTCTTGTATAGAATATACAAATAGATTTGCAATTACTAGAATCATCCAGGTAATGTGATTGGACTAAAAGAAGATAGAAGTTAAAAAATAAAATAAAATAAAATAAGAAAAAACCAAAAGCAAAAGAATTAAACATAATGCAACAAAAGAAATTAAAAACATACAAAGCAATTGAAAGAGGTAAATTAAACATGCTAACTTTCATGATTGAAGGAGACTGAAGAATCATGAAGCTAATTTACGATTGAAGAACAAATGAATGAACAAAGGAAACGAGAGAGAACAAAGAAGCAAAGGAAAAATGTATATCAGCTTGTTCTTCATTAATTTTCATTAACTATCGTGTATGTTTTTACTATATCTATTTACACAAAGGAAAGGTTAGCTACCTTAACAAATCAGCTTAACTAACAACTAACCAATCCTACCTAACTAACTACCATTAACTAACAACTTAACTAACTATAAATACATTTTCCATGTAATATTTCTAATACTCCCTCTCAAGATGAGAATGAATAGTATTCAAACTCATATTGCCAATTAAACCGCAAAAAACACCAGCTTGCAATGGTTTAGTAAAGACATCTGCTAGTTGTTGATCAGTGGGCACAAATTGAGGCTAAACAAGACCACCGATAATCTTCTCATGAATGAAATGGCAATCTACCTCAATATGTTTAGTTCGTTCATGGTATACTAGATTCTTACAAATGTGTAAGGTAGATTGGTTATCATACAAGAGTTGGATCGGTTAAGAATGGTTAACTCTAAGATTTGTCAATAAGTACAAGATCCATATGATTTCATAAGTCGTAGCAACCATGGTCCTATATTCAACTTCGAGTACTATTGTGAGCTATAAGACTTTGCTTTTTAGACTTCTAACCGATGAGAGAATTACCTAAAAAAAGATAAAATTTAGAGATTGATCTTCTTGTTTAAGGACAACAAGCCCGATCCACTGTCCGAATAGTATTGTAGTCGAAGTGTGGAATGAGCTAAGAACAATAGGCCTTGTCTTTGTGCACTCTTCAAGAACTTAAGCATCCTATAAGTAACTCCGCAATTGTATAATGGCCGGTTGGTCCATGAACTAAGCAAAAACTTGGACAACATACAATATGTCAAGCAAAAACTTTCCTTTATGGTGGAAATTATATGAAAGTAGTTCGCAATTTAGTATGCTATACGTAACCAACAAGACAGCTTTATGAAATTTTGAGCTAACTATATAGGCCCATAAGGCTTTTTTATTATAATTTTAGTTGTATATACTATAAATATAAACATTATCTTTTATATATATAAAATTAAAAAACCTAATAAGAATTTTTAGTATAGTTGTACAATATATATATATATATATATATATATTGTCAAAATACATAACTTTTATATCGTAAGATTGTTTTTGCCTTTCTATTATATTTTTTATTTAATTCGTTTCCCAATAATAATTAACTAAAAGAAAATGATTCAACAACTATTTTTTTTTTGTAAATGATTCTCACAAAAGAAAATGATAAAATTAAAGTGAGAATGGTGATAAAAAAAAAAAAAAAAAGGTTACAATTAATTGTTGACTCCAAAAGCCAATCATTTCCTAGAGGATGGTGGCCTATGTAAACCTCTCAATTGGCAATTCATATGGTTTCCATCAATTTCATTTAGGTTGGATCCCTATACATTTTATAACTATTTCAACCCTATGCATGCTTATCATTCTCCATGTCTCCATCTCACCCTTCAAGACACATGGCAATCTAAGAAGCTACCATATTTCCACTAACGAAATAGACAATGACAAGTCAAAATGGAGACCACCATAATCTTAAAGTCATTTCCTAGTGTCTATAGGTGTGCCATGTGGCACAAGAGAATGGGTTACCATCACCTTCCCTAGCTAATGTTTTTTCCCAAATCCTAAGACCACAATTCTTTGACAAAGGGCCTTAGTTGTTTCGGATCATAGATAGATAGACTCGAGAAGTTTACACACTTGATTGGGTTTGAAGAAGAGAATCCTAGAGGAAGCTCCATATATACCTCTTCCCGCAAATCATCATAAAGGAAAGCATTGTTGACATTTAGTTGCTATAAAAACCAGCTTTTTTTGTAACAACTATGGCAAGGAGAGTTTTTATATTGGTCATTTTGGCAATAGGGGAAAAGGTCTCCAATTAGTCAATACCATTTTGTTGGTTGTAACCCATGGCCACCGACCTAGCCTTATGTCTTTCAATGGAGCCATCAACTTTATGTTTCACCTTGTACACCCATTTACGACTAATTAGGTGTTTAGAGGTAGGTAAGTTAGTAACTTTCCAAGTCTTGTTATTATGTAAAGCAATTATCTCGACTCGTATAAGCATCCCTCCAACAAGACTCGTTTAATGACTTGGTTATTGGTAATGGGTATAGAATGAGTGCTAATGTTAATGACAAAAGTTCTATAGGCAAGAGAGACGTTGGTGTAGGATATAACAAAATTTAAAGAATGAGAGAAAGAAGAGTTACTCGATGAAAAAATCACTATTTACATGTGATGTATATATAGATAGAAGAGTACCGGATATGCTAGACTTCATGTGTTATTATCTATGTGATAGTTATCTTAACAACATGATAACTATTACGGTGTGGTATTTGATTCTATGCTAACAATACTATGATTTCTTTTGTATTGTTTAATAGAAAGGCATATCAAGAATGTGAAGTATGCTAACAATACTATGATTCCCTTTTGTATTGTTTAATAGAAAGGCATATCAAGAATGTGAAGTAAATGTGAACACTATGTGTGAAATGGGTTCGTGTGGTGTGTCATTGGTAAGAGCTTTCCGAATTGAAATCAATTTCTGTAGTTTTTTGTTTTGTATTTCTATGATAATTTTGTGATAAAATTAAGATAGATGATGTTTGTGGGATCTCTTTTTAAGTTTGGCTTAATTGAAATTCTTCCTATCTTCTGTGCTTAAGAATAAGAAAGGTAGAAATATCTGCCACTTTTTTTTATAGTCAATTTAACATAGATTTGAAGTTTATGCAAGGTCAGCTATCCGTTGCCACGCTTAGAGTGGGAATAGAAGGAATCCAGACCACTGTTGATGGAAAGCACATAACGTCTTTTGTATACCATGAAGTAATTTCCTTACTCTGATGTTTGTGCTACTTTTGGAATTTAGTTTAGCATGCCAGTTTCTTTGAATTTATTTGCTTGCTGCTTTGTTGTCTGTTCAGACTTTGGAGCTGTGGCTACTTAGCGAAGTTTGGATTTCTAGGGACCTAAAGCTTATTTCAGTTGTGGCTAGTGGTCTACCTACATCCGAGGATTTATAGCATGCAATTACCTTAATTAGCAATTGTTAAGTAAAGCATAAAGGGAAAAAAGAGGCTCAATCCTATGAATTAAATGCTTGTCTATGCTTCCATTAAATCTTATGCATTAAAATAGTTTGATTGCTATGTTAATATTGAAATTTTAAAAAATAATATAGGTGAATCCAGATCACATTGTATTTGGGGATGGGACGTAAGTGACATGAACTTTGAAGATGCCATGGCAAGGGCCAAGGTTTTCGGCATTGACTTGCAAAACAAATTGTGGCCATACATGGAATCCGTGGTACCACTCCCTGGAATTTACTATCCAGATTTCATTGGTGCCAATCAAGGCTCACGTGCTAACAATGCCATCAAAGGCACTAAGAAAGAACAAGTTCAGCAAATAATCAAAGACATAAGGTAGCATTTTGATTATGGTTGCCTTTTTTGGTTCTGTAAGGAAAATGATTTTTTGTTCCTTTAATGGATAAGTAATTACTGTGATAATGTTTGTTCCTAATTAACTAGGGAATTTAAGGAGAAAAACAAGGTGGACAGGGTGGTTGTGTTGTGGACTGCCATTAATAAGGATGGCAATGGGCCGGGTACCCAGCCCATTAAGCTAATCTCTTATCCTACTCACTAAAAAATACTATACCCATTATCCACTAAAAATCATTTATCCATTTATTTACCTTGCCTATATTCATTATATCATATATTGCTCATACTCTATCCATACCCATTTACCCACTAACTTTTTTCTTTAAATTGAAAACTTTTTTTTTCAATTTTTTTAAAATGAAATGATGAAGTTAATTAATATGAAGTGGTTGTTAAAGTAAATTAAGATTTACGAGTTGGATTATCTTACAAACCATTATTTAATTTATTTTTTATTTTTTATACAAAGTTTTTTTCTTAATTGAGAAAGATAAAAAAAAAAAACTCGCAATAGTTTTTTCTAGGTCATTGACTCTTATTTTTCTTATAAATCCAAAAGGACACCACAACAATTAAACTTGAAATTTGCTCTAAGACGTTTTGCTGAACTAAAATAAATCCAAAAGCTTTTGCATGTGGGAGAAAGAAGTATCAAAGCACACTTGAGATTGAAAAATAAAGCAAAACAACAAACAAAACTCTTTGACTTTTTTGGTATGTTTCATTACCACGGATCGTTTGAAAGAAAATAAATCAAGTAATAACATCACTTTATTTATTATTATTATTATTATTTACGTACAATTAATTAAGTAACTGAAGATATGGACCGCCAAGTGTAGATAATATCAAAAAATCTCAAGTATGGCGATAATATTATCATGATAATAATTGCCAAAATCTGATAATTGAGTTGTGAATAAATATTATCCACGATAATGTTTAGATTGACTTGACCAATAAGAAAAAAAAAGTAGGCTATTAATTCATGTTTAAAGTAATATTAATAATGAGATTTACGAAGAATAATTCACAAATTATAATTATAATAATAATAAAATAAAAAGATTCACTAGTCAAATTGCATGTGTGATTGTTTGGATAAATGTTAAATTGAATGATAAATAATAATAATAATAATAATATCAATGAAATCATAGTTAATTACATAAGTGCCTTAAAAATACTATTTGTTTTTTAATAAATAATAATAATAATATCAAAGAAACCATCTGAGTGATTAATTACATACTTTTTTTTTTGTTTATTTTAAAATTTTATGTTTTAGTACTTTTTTATGTTAATGGGTAAAAGAAGGGTATTAATAGGATAAAAAGAGAGTACCCATATTCATAAATAAATTATCCATTAACATAAATAGGTAATACTATTTTATCAATATTTAACTCATTACCTATTAAGGTATTTTAAAAGAGTAATTAATGAACAAACTGTGTAGGGTATCCATTTTGTACCCTACCCACTACCATCCTTTGCTGCCAACACAGAGAGGTACGATAATATTGTTGCGGGGCTAAATGACACAATGGAGAACATCTTGGCTGCTGTGTAGGAGGATGAATCAAGGATTTCTCCATCAACCTTGTATGCTTCGGCTTATATGTATGAAAATATTCCTTTCATTAATGGAAGCCCACAGAACAGTTTTGTTCCAGGTTTTTAACCTAAAAATCCCACCTATTGTTCGAAAGGTCAAATATTGTTAACCCTTTCAAAGCCATAAGAAATTGTTCCGTGTTTAATTTTCTTTTTTTGGTTCTTGATAACTACAAGACTTGTTGAAGGAAATTTCTAATTATTGTAATATTTTATTATTGTTATTATTTGATAATGAAGAGAGAATTAGATTAATGCTGCTGGATCTTTAAGTTACAAATTATGCCATTTAACTTGAATAATCTTTTTTCCTCTCAACCAGAGGAGGCTATGTAATAATGAATTAAAAAAGATTACGTTTTCAACATTAATTAGCACAGATTAACGACGGAACTTGGCTGTATATTCCTGTATATTTTATCACATTAGCGACCGGAGTATGTTTCGATAGAGACAATATATATGTAGCTAACTTCGTCATTTTTCATCATATTAGCAACCGATAAAGCGATAATTTTTATGTTGCTAATTTAGCGATGGATGCTAACTTCCATCACTAAAATATTAACGATGAGTATTTTGCCAATGAATTTATTCTATCATTGAAAAAAATAATGACAGAATATATATACTTAGCGATGGAAAAATCCGTTCGTTAAAAGCTAGCTCCTTGTTCTAGATATCAGTAAATTTGTCTTTGATTTCACATATTTTCAACTAGGAAATTTCTATTGGTGTAATTAAATGTTGTTAATTTATATTTTTTTTTATTGTGCTTATGAATTTATATTATACAATTTTATTTTTTAATTTTTATTCAATTACTTTTTAATTTTTATTTTTTTATAATTACTCTATATAAATAATAAATAGTTTAGAACCTGGCTTTGCTATACATATATATATATATATATAATTTTTCTTCTGAATTTATATCTTGAACTAATTTTATATAACAAAATTTTTGTGTAAATTTAAGGTTTTGTGGACTTTTAACATTAATACACATCATCTTGCATTAAATATATTGCCGACAATTATTTCTGTGGTATCTAAAGATGATCTATATTACAAGCTATCATGTTTTTGTGCTATTACATAAGCTATTTTCTCTTGTTGAAGGAGTAACTTATAAATTAGTCCATCTAGCTTGTTTGGAGAAACAAATTAATTATTATTTTATTTTATTTTAAAAACTAATCATTTAGTCTTTATATTTTGAAATCTACTTATAATTTAGTCTTTTTTTGCTCATTTTTAATTTATTTTGATTTTTTATTTTAAGAAATGGAAAAATGGAAAAAAGTATGAAAAAATATGAAAAGATTGATAAAAAAAAGATTTTGTAGAATAAAAATAATATTAAATTAAGCATAGTCAATACTGATTAAATCACTAAATAATAATTTTTAAAATAATGAGAACTAATTAATTTGTTTTTCAAAACTAGAGAGACTAATTTATTATTTACTCCTTATTGAAACGTGTATTGTCATCTATGTGACTACTTGTAGACAACGTACAAAATAACACATGAAAAAAAAAAAAAAAAAGAAGATGTAGCAGATTTCTTGCGGCACAATAGGTTTCTTGTGGCACAATAGCTCTTCTGTGTACGAATTAGAGGTGGTTGCGGATGACAGTAGAAGAATTAAAGATCATATGAGTGATAAGATGATATATATTGCCATCAGATAATATATACTTCATTTTTCTTTCTTCCTTTTTTTTTTTTGGATAAATCGAAAGATTGAAATAAGGGAAGCAAAAGGAAATATACTTCAGGTCTGATTGCTAAAGGTCAACATATATTACCGACGTTCTTTCAGCTCTTCTTGTGCTGGAAACTTGTCAAGTACTTTTGCTTTGTTTCGTTGCCATCAGATAATGTAAATTAATGTGGTTGAATATTCTTATATATATTAATTGACTCCAGCTGTTTCTGAATTTTATCTTCTTCAAGTAAAATTAGTAAACATCACCAAGCAATTACAGCACGAAATCTTTTAACATTTCGTGCTTCTTTCAGCGCCCCAAATTCCTCGCATGACAGATTCCTATCCAATTAGCTAGGAAGTTTCACAAAACTACAAGTTTTAAATTGAATCTTCATTAATTGGTCAACGTCAAGGGCAAAAAAAAAAAAAAAGAAATTGAATTTTACCAGCTTCGAAGTACGGAGCTTTAGGATGCCTATAAATAGCATGTCGATGTTGTTGCAATCCAATTGATTCAACCTGTAACAAAATCTATACTTCATGCACTCATTTATTCTTGTATTCATTGTTAGCTAATATACATTCTTTTATTCAGTCCGTAAGCTTGTTGATTTCACCCAACATTAGTTAGGTCCCTGAGGTGAAGGCCATCAAATTTGGCAGTGGTACAACTAATTCCAAGCTTATATTGCTGATCTTCTTCAAGTCTGCTCAACCAAAACCAACCACTTTGGGAAGTATGGACAAGTTGAGTCGTTATTCCTTTCCCGATGGTTTTGTTTTTGGAGCTGGTACATCGGCTTACCAGGTAATTAAACATGTCTCTAATCTTAATTATAAGACTAGCTAGCTGGTGAAGTTACTTGGCATTGCAAATGTCACTCGCATATCCATGCATGATTGAAGATAGGAATGCTTCAAGAATTGTTTTCTAACAACACTTATTTTATGAAGTATGAAGGTGAAACAAACAGAAGTGGTAAAGGGCCCAACATATGGGACACTTTCATTGAGGAGCATACAGGTATGTATATCTCCCTCTATTAGTGAAGAAGTTTGCTTCCATATGTGCTTAATTAATTTCCCAATTTAAAACAAAAAGTACATTACGCTCTTGGAGGCTTAGTTTCGGAGTCGGGAGCTACCTTCTCATGTTATCTTCGGAAAGTCATGAGGAAATATTTTTTTATAAATTCATCGATTCTAAAGTGATTTAATTATGTCTTTTTTTTTTTTTTTTTTTTTTGAGCCTGTTAAGTAGTTTATGCTCCAAAATTTTTACTAATTTTTTAGATCTTTTTAAAACTCGATAACATCTAAAGTTAAACAAGTTAAAATTAGATTCTATCTAAAAAATTTAAATTTTAATATGGGTTTTTATTAATTTCACAATTTTATATATTACTTATTTTTATTTAATTATTTAATATGGAATATGGAATATATATATATATATATATGGTTTACTTAAAATCAAACTGGAAAAAAAAAGGTTTTAGTCTATATATATTAGTAGTTCAAAAGTCCAGAATATCGTCATATATATATATAAAGACAGAGAGCGACAGAGAAATAAAGAATTGATTTAAGAGTGGGGAAACAAAATGTATGCATGTAAACTATAAATACAAATATGTATCGATTTTATCTCAAAATTCAAAGGAATTAATTTAAGAAAATTGCAGAGAGGATCACCGACCATAGTAATGCAAATGTGGCAGTTTATTTCTATCATCACTATAAGGTACGAATCAATTTATCATTTTCTTTTTCTTTTATAGTTGCTTTTGTGGATTTGACCACCATACATGGATTCAATTATTTTACTCAAAATGTTTTACAGGAAGATGTGCAAAGAATGAAGGAAATGGGAATAGATGTTGTCAGATTCTCTATTTCTTGGTCTAGAGTGTTACCACGTAAGTTTTTTTTTTCTTCTTCTCCTCTTTTCTTTTTTTCTTTTTTTTAATTCCTACTCTTCCTTTGATTTTTTTCCCCCTTTCAACTATTGTATTCAGATGGCAGACTAAGTGCAGGAATAAACGAAGAAGGGATCCAGTTTTACAACAATCTCATCGATGAGCTCATAAAAAATGGTTATAACCTTTTCCTTTCCTTCGATGACGAGTTTGATTGTAATATTTTTACTTTGACAAAATTAAATTCTTTGATTCTTCTTTAAATTATAATGGAGTAATATTTTGCTTAACTTTCAATGTCTACATTCTCCAAACTTTCGTATCTTTGGTGCTTAGAAAATATGAATTTGACACTAAAATCTTTTAAAAACACACATTAAAATATCTATTTATTTTACCTTTGATATTATGTAATGTGCAGGTATACAGCCTTATGTAACTCTCTTTCATTGGGATACTCCGCAAGCACTAGAAGATAGATATGGTGGTTTTTTAAGCCCTAACATTTTGTAAGTAACCGTCTAATTTATATTAATTAATTAATATTATATAAAAAATATCTCTTGATTTTTAAATTTCCATGCATCTTTGCAGAAGATTTTCAGAAGCTCATTACAATAAAATTATTCCCACTACTCTTGAATCTAACAGCTTCAATTTTCATATAGAAATGATTTCCGAGACTTTGTGGAGTTTTGCTTCCAAAAATTTGGAGACCGAGTGAAGAATTGGATCACTTTAAATGAGCCTTTTATTTTCAGCGTCTATGGTTATGACACGGGCGTACATGCACCTGGTAGAATTTCAACTCTGGAGAACTCATGTCCAGGCCAACCCAAAATCTCAGGTGCCACCGAGGTTTACATGGTGAGCCATCATCTATTGCTTGCTCATGCAACAGCTGTGAAAGTATACAAGGAAAAATATCAGGTTTGCAAAAGCTTAAAACTGTAATTTTTTTAATGTAATTATTGAGTTGGTTTACAACCGTTTTTCATCCAAGTCGTAAATGCAGTTGTGTTAATTAATTTTTACATTGACAAAATCATTAGGCATGTCAAGGAGGACAAATTGGAATAACACTCGTTTGTCATTGGTTTGAACCTTACTCAAACAGTGAAGGTGATCAGAATGCAGTTAAACGAAGCCTTGATTTTATGCTTGGATGGTAAGTATTCTGTATGAAGGAAGACAGCAATGGAAAGTCAACTTGGGTTAAACCATGCATGATCATTCTAATTGATTAATCCTTGCATGTTTTTGGCAGCTACATGAGTCCTTTAACTACAGGTGACTATCCACAGAACATGCATGACTATGTTGGAGGAAGATTGCCTAAATTCAGTGAAGAGGAATCTAAGATGCTGATAGGATCTTACGACTTCATTGGAATCAATTACTATACTACATATTACGCTCGGAATGTTGATGATGTTAATTATAAAAATATTGGCTATATGGAAGATGCTCGGGTCACTTGGCCAGGTAAATTTATAAAAGGCTAAAAAGCTTGATAATTACATAAAAAGAAATTAGCAAAATTTTAAGAAAAATAAGAGTTCTAATTTTTTGTTGTAACGTTGAAAGAATAATTTTATTTTATTTTGCTATTTTGCAGGGGAGAGAAACGGAATACCAATTGGTCCACAGGTGAGTGTGATTCTTAATTAGAGATAGTTCTAGTTTCAACAAATTGTTTTTTTTTTTTTTTGGTGTTTAACAAATTGCATAGTTGATATATAGAATTCAATATTTTTTCCCTTATATTGAGATTTATGGAAATGAAATTTGCAGACAAATGCAGATTGGATTTATATTCATCCTGAAGGTATTCGCCACCTATTGAATTATGTAAAGGACGTGTATGGAAATCCAACAATATATATAACTGAAAATGGTAAGATCAAAGTTAACAATCATATTGATAATAATATTTATATATGTTTAAGGTTTTAGTTGTTAATAGATTCTGATTTTCCAATTTCTTGATACATGTAGGAGTTGATGACGTGAAATCCTCGTCATTGGAGGAAGCACTCAATGATCCCATAAGAGAGAAATCTTACCAAGGCATTTTTCACAATGTTCTTAAATCCATCAAGTGAGTTCGACCTTTCCAAAATTTATGTTCGTCAAGTCATTACGTCTTGTCAAACAAGTAGTTTTATAAAATGCATGGGATTCAAATTTCTCTCTATATTATCAACTCCAATTGATAAGAAACTGATTTTTGCAGTGACCATGGTGTTGATGTTAGAGGGTTTTTTGCTTGGTCATTTTTGGATGATTTTGAATGGCAATATGGCTATGGTTCGAGATATGGGTTCTACTACATTGATTACGAAAACGACTTGAAACGATATGCCAAAAATTCTGTAAAGTGGTTTAAACAATTCTTGAAGAAGGACAAAAATATACATAAGGATAATATGTAAGAATTCTTTCTTTTAACTATTTTGGTTTCATCTTCATATCAAAACAATCTCTTAACATGGAACCTTATGTCTTGCTCATTTGATTTCCATTACAGAACATCAAAGATTCCCTCAGACCCTCGAATGAAAAATGAATCTGTTGGTAGTCGTAAAAAGCCAAGAACATAATAAGATTATTGGCATTGAATTTAATAAAGGTATTACATTCCTCTACTTCTAATTTTATTTTTGGTTCTTTCTTTGTATTCTTTTTCTTTTTCAATTCTCATACATTATAAACTAATTTATTAAGAATGCAGGAACCTATAGACCATATAGCTATAAATAAAAAGACAATTGTGTACTACCTTCAAGACGCAGTTCGAACCATGTGGATTTATATAGGAATAGCACCAAAAAGGCTGCAGTCAAACTTAGGAGCACCATGTTGGGTTTCCATGGCTGATAGATTTTAACATTTGTTGGCATCCTATTTGTCTGTTTGTGGATCTTTTTCTTCGATTTCGCATATTTTCAACTAGCAAATTTCTATTGTTGTAATTATAATACTGTTAATTTGTATAATACTCATGATTTGTATTGTTTTATTGTGCTTCTAAATTTGTATTCTAGGATTAATTGTTTTTATGTTTTAGTCAATTATTTTATCTTTATTTTTTGACAATTACTCAATATAAATAATAAATAGTTTTAAACCCTTGATTTGCCGAGTTTGATCAACATTTTAAAAATTACTTTTATCATTTTAGGAATATTTTAGTGTGTTCTTATATATTAAGTTAGAAAATTAATATTGGTATTCATCCAAAAGATTAAAGCCTTATGGTGGGTGGCTCATTCTCACATTTATATGTTATTTATCAATTTTTTTATTTAAATTAAATAACTAAAAACAAAACAAGTGGTGGATGCATGTAAGTTTCAAATTCCAAGAGTTTTCATTTGAAAAAGGTGTGTTATATAATATAAATCATATTATAGAGTCTCGCTCAATAGGTTAAGCTTTTGAGTTAAAATATTTTTTTGACATGATATTATAATCTTGATGACCAAACCAAGCACGAGTTTGAATCTCACCACTCATATTCTCTCTTATTAAAATTAATTAATTAAGCACAAGGCAATAGTGGGCATGTGCAAGCTAGTTTCAAGCCCAAATGACTTTCATTTAAGGATATGTGTTAGAGAATAATATAAATCATATCACATTACATCAAAACTCGGGATTTAGCGAGAGACCATAATCCATCGCTAAATAATAACTAAATAGCATTTGAAGAAAAAAGGTATAATGGCTCAAAAAATGTTTAAGGGTTGTAAGATTACAAATCATTTCAATGTTTGCAGCATGCTTCCTCTTAACTTGGTTGCTTTTATAGAATCCTTGTTATTATTATTGACTTCTCTTGTGAGTGCATGAATGGTGCCTTTTATTTATTTCTATGTGTTCTTCTAACGCATGGAGTATGACTTGTATTTTCTCTCAAGTTGCTAATTGAGCTAACATTTGGATTGTTTTTCTTGATGGAATAGAACTATCTCATCAAAAAGCTCCTTATTTTGCTTTTCTAACTTTTTCCTTTTTACTTTCTCAAACTCAAATTTTTATTTTAATTGCTGATTTTCCAATCGAGTAGCTCCACTTGATTCCTCATGTCTTCTTATATAGTGATCGAGAGCCCATAATCATCTTCTCGTCTTTCACTTCTTTTAAACTATCACAGCTTAGCTCATGCTAAAGCTTTGTATAGAGAATTTCTTACACTAGTAAGTTTTCTTCTTCTAAATCTTGAGAAATATTTTCAGCTACATTTTCAAAAAATATGTTTTAGTAAATTTGTAATTTTATTCCTTCTCTTTTTTTAGGGATGAACATGAAGTGAGTCTATCATGATGATTGTGATTATGACAATATTTCCTACAAACTTCACTTGACCTTTTTTATTCGAGGAGTTATTCATCTTCATATTTTGAGCACATTCAACCCTAATATGGGGGTGGCTTACTATTAGATTATAATTACAAGAAATTAGTAAGGCTAAAAAAGTGTTACAAGGGATATGTACGATGATCATTTGAAAAAGATATTCCAAATATTTCATTTTATCATCTCAAAACCAATTTGCTTTTGCCGACAAGTTCTAACTATCGTTTTTTTTTTTTTTTTAGAAAATCAAGCTCATGACCTCTTTGTGTACATTTAATCATCATTTAGAGTATCAAATCACGAATGACAAGACTTTATTTACATGAGCATTGTTTGAGGTGAAGAACTATATTTTGGATTTTAAGAAAAACGATTGCTCTTAAGTAATTGCATGAAATATTTTGAAATTTGAACAATCTTAAAGGTATTTAGAGAATGCATTTATGATAATATTCCTTTTCTTTAAGGATGATATATAATGCTAAATGATACTTTCTAAATTTCGATAAAGTCATGCAAAAAGAAAATTTGATACAATTAAAATATGTCACTTAGTTTAGCAAAACCTAAATAAATTTTTTGACAATGTTCAAAAACAAATAAAAAAGGACTCAATTTGCAAAGTGTAGGCCTATGCAATTTATGATCTTGAATATGCTCAATCAATATTTTCATCTCTTGTTTTGGCAACTATATGGTTCGAAAGTGGATTGTTACTAATGTTTGGTATACTAGAATTATCATCCATAAAGATCCAACAATGATCAATTAGAGATGAAAATTTTCTTTTAAAAGCCATAAAACTCTCAATACCATGCCCTGCTACATTAGAGTGATAGTCGATTTCTTATTAGGCTTGTTCCAATACGGATATAGTGGCTGAACTAAATTTGTAAGGATAGGAACAACTTGATTAAAATTACTAAGATGCTTGAACAACTCGTCTAAAGACATAGGAAGATGGGGTAATTTGTCTTGGTATCTTCTATCACTTTGACTTCTTTTATGAGAGACCTTAAGTAATTATTAAAAGGTTGCTGATAGTTTTAAGGTGATTCAACATTGCCTATCTCACTAGGAGCAAGTGTTCATAAGAGGTACATATAAAGGTGACACTTGATTATTTATATTTCTTATCCGGAAAAAGTGATGTTTTGAGTGCCAATGATTGTTCTACCACCATTTCGGTTGAAAATTGATAGACTCCACTCGATGAACATCATTGTCTTTTTGGTTGCTAAAATTATTCTTCTTTAAACTAATTTCTAAAATCTTTCTTATCTTAATAGCTTGTTTCACTCTTTCGATAATAACCATTATATCAAGCAAAGATAGGTGATGGATTATTAATAAGATACTTAAAGTGGAGAATCTTGAAGATGTTAAAAAATATAGAGATCAACTCTTTTTCAGTCAAAGGAGGATGGACTTGAGCAACCATTTTACGTCATCTCCGAGCATACTCCTTAATAGACTCTAACAAGTAAATGATCATTCTCTTTCACCATCAATACTTTCAAACCTTTTGATATTGAAACTTTGATCTCGAGTAAAGCCTCTAAACTCTCATTTTCAAAACTCTCATACTTACACACTAAATACCACTTAAAATGCAATCCATTTAGATTTTAGCTATCCATTTGTTTGGTATTTGATTGGCTTGCACCTTGCTAGCACTCGCTTACTCCTTTAATTTCTCTTACTACTTGTGTACATTCTACTTGTTTGGTTAACTCGTTATTTTTAAAAGTCATTACACTAAATCTATATACCTTGATCGGCATGTCAACTAATCGTTTGATCAGCTTCTTAAAAGCATTTCATAAAAATGAGACATGACAAGCAATTTAATTTGCTTCAATTCTTATAGTGATTTGTCAAAAGGAATTGCATCACTTGCAATAATAATGATATTGAATCATTTAGCTAGTCTTATACAATAATTTTAAGGCTTAATATTCAAAAAAATTCATGAACTTAACGTTTTTTTAATTATTTTAGCTTGTTTTTTTAATTTTGGATAGAAAGGCCACTAACTAAGCCTTCGATAATAATACTAGTACAAATTTGAGTTTTCGACCTAAATTCTTAGCAAAACCGACATGGCACATGACAAAGCATGACAACTAAACTAAATATGATATTTAGTTCTCACCAAAACTAACTTGGCACATGATGAAGTATGACAACTAGACTAAATATCATATGTAGGATCTATATAAGCGAGTGATGTGGAAAATTAATTGCAAATATTGAAATATATGCCATTCCCTATATACCCTAATTATAACAAAATCTCTAATTTAAATTAACCCTAACTCGTATAACCTTTTGTTCTTTATTTTAATTTTACACAAGTACACCTATCTTTCTTCTTCTTCTCCTTCATTTGACTTTATCTTCTCGAATTGAACGCACATATCCTTTCTTTTTCTTCCTTTATCTTCTCCTTCCTTTTTTATAGAATTGAACCCATAAATTCAAAAAACCTAACTCCCTAACCCTAGCCCGCATGTCATTTCTTTTCATTTCAATTTTACACAACACACCATCTTCTTTCTTCTTCTCCATTATCTCGCCTTCATATTCTTATAATCGAGTGAATCCATAGACCACCATTCCTTTATCTCAAACAAACCCAAAAGACCATCATCTTCCTTATTCTTCCTTCATCTTCTCCTTCCTTCTCATCTCCTAAATCCACGCGACCCTCTAACCTCATTCTCTCTTTTTGTCATGAAGCATTTACTCTAGTTCAGTAATTGAAAATCCAAACCCCTCTCTATCCTTAATCCCTCAAATTCAAAATCCTAAATCTCAAAAGACAAACCTTCAAGCCAATCTCCAAAAAACCCTAATCTTGCAATTCAAAATCTCAAACCACTTTTTATCAAGCATCCTTCTCTTTATGATTATTTTAAAAAAAATTCAAATCTACAACCTAAATAGACCAATTATTCATATAAAAATAGAAATATCTACAAATGATAGCTTCAACATGAATAAAGCTTTAAAAATATCTTCCCCAAGTTTTAAGATGCCTTTATGCAAGCACAAGATGAAGACAACCATATATATATATCATGAATAAAATCAAACCTAGAGAAGAAGTTCTTTTGCTCGCCCATATTGGAAGTATGGTTTGAACGATCGTGACTTATATTTCTAACAACAAAAAAAGTATAGCTTATAAGTTAGGAATGCATATTAAATAACAACCCTTTAGTTCCATTTAGCTATG